TGCGTGATTTTATGTCTTCCGTGTACTATTTTGAAGAGTTTCCTGCGTCGCAAGAAAACATTTTCCCAAAGAAAACTTTACGTCATTTTGAAGATCATTCCTTTGGAAATTTACATACGTAATTTGGTGGAATTCTGAATAACGGCACATGGTGAGAAAAAGAGGTTTTCTTCACCGACATTATTTTGTAACGGAAGAGAGCACATTGCTTTTTCGCATGGCCAAAAGCTTCTAAGCAACCAATTCCTACACAACTTACATTTTACAGAAGACGAAGAGTCTATGAAAGAGCACACGTTGATTAGATTTCCCTTGACGTAATATCTTTGAAATGCGAAGCAAGCGAAAGTGTTCAGTTTTCGACCTATTACGACCCGATCCATCGATTCTAGAGGGTGAAAGTGAAAAGTTCGTTTTTCTGGAAAATAAAAACATATTTGAGGGAAACAAAATACACAACCTTTCTTGTCTTACTAGGGTCTATTTGTGTGCAAAAATTGAGACAATTTGAATTTTTGACCCTTGCCATAAAAATTTCATTTTAGTTTGATTTTTGCACGAATGTCCTCTTAAGCTGGATTGGCTCGTAATTTTGATATCCTTGGCAATTCCCTTCTCTAAACACCACTTTTTCCAAACCGACAACCAAAAAGCAGTGCTTTTTACAGTGTTTTCGTTGTTAGAGCTGTTTTTTTAGCTGCTGTATTGATGTTGCAGTGGCGAAAGAAGACCAACATAAAACGCCGGTCATTGATTCGCTCGCAAATTTTCAGCGTAGCAAATGTTGCGACATCCAAGGCTAGCATTTGATTGGCTATCTGTGAGTTCCTTTGATTATTGACCAATCAGAGTGTCTGGTTTGTTACTTTCTTTGCACTGAATTAACCCTCCTCTGCAATGAATGCATTTATCTTAATCAATCAGAACTAAGTAGTTTTTTCATGTATATTATTAACTGCATAACTTACACTTATTGCAATAAGTTATACATCGGTGAAACAGGAAGACGACTAGGTGACCGATTCCAAGAACACCTTCGCGATGTAGAAAGAAATGACAAGGACGCATAGCTCATCCAAACCACTCGCTAGACACTCTAATCTCCCTAATCATTCTAAACAGCATA